TCATGACTACGTCCCAAATGTTCTCTATCAATTCGGCCTCTCGAAGAACCTCTTCGTCCACGACTGCTACTGCGACGATGCTCTCTTCGATTATTTCCAAAGCTACGATCACGAGAACGGCTTCGTCGCAGCCGCTTTGGCTGACGAGCATCCGAAAATCCACGACTGCTTCCTCTCTCTCTATCCCGTTCATGCTCACGATCTCTTCAAAATCAATATCGATGTTTGCCTATTCATTAAAAAATCGAAAAAAAAGAGAGATATTCGGACTTAAAACCACCAATATTTTTGCTTCAAAATGCATCAAATCTTTTGTAAAACCAGATGGCGTCCGTGAAAAAACAACGGTTGAAAACTCGTGTGGCCTCCCAAAGTATACTTAACACACGGCAGGTGCTAACTGGGAGTAAGCAGCTGAGGATCAAACTGTGTGGCACAGATGCGCTTGTCCCGCGAAATACGTCGGGAACACAATCAACATGGGATGATAACACCAATTATATCAAGACAATATTGATAGTAATCTCGGTATTTACGTATTTAATAAATGCTAAATGATTAAAATATGTATTTTTCAGATATATGAAATGAATATAAACCCAGGCTGGAAGGCACCAGGCTTGCCGATGTGACCATGGGTTTTTGCACTAAACTCGCGGATCACAAATAGCAGGACAGCCCTCCACTGTAGCCCAACACTTGGGCTCATATTGGTCGTGCTCTGGCCTCTTCCGGCATGCAGTAAAAAAGGCTTTGATTGGGATGAAGGTTTGCATTATAGGACAGCGTGGGCCTCCAGGTACATGATTATCAGTTTTTTGCATGAAGCTCGGTCGTTTTTCTGGTAAATGCTCGCTCTTCGAAAAAATGCAAATTTCCAGCTCGCTAAAAAGTGGAAGTGTTGCTACAGCGGTCGTTTGTCGAAAAATCCAAATACGAAGATGAGTTCATTTACATGTGCGGAGAGGATGAGGGCAGTCGTTCGCTGCAAAATGCATTCGTTTCTGAGTCTGCAGTAAAGTCGAGTATTCCTCATAACCACTTGCAGTGGACTTCACCTCCAAGCAGAATTAAAGCCACGCATGAAAGTAGAATATTCCAGCGAAGTTTCAGCCTCGAAGCTAGGTAAGCGAAATATTCACTTCGTTACAAATATCTTTAAAGTGCTCTAAGTCGTGGAGCAGATGCAAATCGGCACTCATTTTAAGTATTCGATTTCCCATTTGGGCGACAAACATGCTGACAAAATTCCAGCCACTATTTCCCGACAAGTTTTCGAGTCAGCACAGTACCAAGTCCCAAACTTTGACGTCGTCGTACACACTGCACAAACGTCCGCGACAACTCAATTTGAAATCTTTAAATCGCAGATGCACAGAGAATATCCCTGCAAAATTTCAGTTTATACCTTGCCTAGTTTTCGAAATCATTTACCGCCAAAGAAATTTGTATATTTTTTCGAACATCCGTATAGGCGCGCATAAGCTTAAAACGGGAGGATGACACAAGGGATAGGAACATATGCTCAAAAATCTCAGCCTCCCAGCTTTCCTTGTTGCTGAAATGAAAGTAGGTGACAAAGTTCAGTTGTTTCCGACACACATACAGACGACCTCTCGACAATATGCGTTTTTACTAGCTGCACCAGCGCTGCTATAGCGTTGCACAGCAAAAACGCATAAAAATCTTTTCGCACCCCACTGTCACTTTAATGAAACAACAAAATGAACGGAATCGAAAGCAGAGTAGTACCTTGAGCGACCACGCCGCCGATCCCTATCCCTGTCCCTATCAATTTTTTCGCTAGTTCTGCCATTATTCCTGCCGCGATCTCGCCTTATTCTCTCATCTCGATCAGCTTCGTACCGTCCCTCGTCATCTCGACGATAACGATCATCCTGCAACGGAAAGTCCGACCAGAGTTCTCAAAAAATCCACGAAAAAACAGAGGAACATCAGACAAACCTGATCAACATCAGTTTGTTCACGCTCTGAGCTCGATAGCGCGGGTACGTTGCTATTCGGCAGTGAAGTGGGAATCTGTGGCAGCACATTCATAATACTTGGAGGCATATTTGATGCGAATGATGGTATTCTACTGGCTGCACTCAGCAACTAAAACAAGCAAAGATAAAACTTTTTTACATAATTAACTTCTTGTCAATACATTTATCGTGTCCCTCAAACGTATGAAGTTTGTCCGATTTGATTGTATAAAACAACAGTCGCTTACTTATTTGGCTATTTCAAATGTGAAATAAATCAAACTGTATGCTAAGGATCACGTTTTTGCGTCCATTGAACATTATTTCATTTTGTTTTCTTTCTTCCTGTCTCAAATAGCACATTTTCTGTCAAGTGAGAAACAAAAACAGAATGAGCCAATCGCTCAATTTGGGAATAAAAAAGTGCCTATTTCAAGAATCGTTATTCCAAAATGCATACTGCCAACTCGCCTCCCACTTCCTTCCCACCCCTCCCCCACTTTTACTTCCCTCCATTTAGTCTCTTACTACGATTGAGCTCGATTCGTGCACTGATATTCGAGAAACATCAAACCTGGTGAGCTGGTGAAATTTTCGAGATGTACTTAACGAATGTCATACATTTGCTGAAGAACTAATGGTAATAAAAAGCTAGTGATAATTTGAAAAAGCGCTTACCAGCTGCTGTGTAGACCTTGGCGACAGTAAGTTTGATGCTGCCTGCAGTGGTGGCTGCTGCTGTTGTTGCTGCATGGGCATTGGTATAGAAATCGGCGGAACGGGTGGGACGCTCGCCTGCGACACGTTGATCGGATTCAGTGGGATTGTGATAGGAGCTGATACCGTTTGGGTTACCAGCGAAGGGGTCGTCGGTAAAGCACTGCTTTGTTGCTGTAACTGAGTGACAGGCTGAACGCGGGTTGCTGCTGCTGCTTGTGATAGCGCCGATATGCGTTCCGTATGCATACGCTGAATTTCTTCCTTTGTGTCCGGCTCTCGAAGCACCGCTTCTGCCATGCTGAAAATGAGGTTTTCACACCAATAATAATTGACTAGCGCACCGGCTGCTGGTGCGGAGATTCGTTTTTTGTATAGTTCTCCGCAGATTTTTGTTGCTAACGGCACCAGTTTGTCCGGCAAATGCTTCTAGCTAAGCGAACTGAAACTGGCCGTCAAGACTGTCAGTAAATACCCCCTTAAAATTTTAGCTTTCTAGCTTTTCTGGTTCCCAAATCAACAAATTACCCGCTAAAAATTTCCACTGGCTCGTACGCGGGTGAGTACCACGTGGGTAAGGACGCCCATTTCGGGAATGGGAGCCCGCACATGCATGTAGATTAAGCTCCCAAAGTTTCAGCTCTGTAGCTTTTATAGATCTCGAGATGAAAAATCGGTACAGATGAATACACAGACAACCTCTCGAGAATATGTGTTTTTGCATTGCATAGATGCAAAAAACGCATAAAAATAAATGCTACTCAGAAGAGATAAGTGATGGTTCTTACAAAACAAACTCGCTTGCTCATCAAGTGAAATATGCGATGCTAGGGAAGGATACTTCACTTCAACGCGATGTATAAAAAAATAACGAATATACATAATTTCCTGCCGGTCCCATAAGAAACACATGCTGAACACTTCGTAGGAATTCAGAAAGCTTGCATACTGGATAAAACTAGTAGCCAGAGAATTACCTAACTTGTCTTTGCCTCACTCATTTCTATGGAATATTTAGAGTTATTCGGACGCTTTGAGCCAAAAAGGCACTACTACCGTGCTGATCGATGTTAACATTTGCATCCTTCTGAAGGTGCTTTGTTAGGTTCCGTCAGACTACACAGCGGTCAGACCAACTTAATTTCAATAAATGGCAACGCGCACTAGACTAGCCGGTGCGATCATGCGTTTTGTGCAGTTCAACCCATCGAACGATTGCCTATTAACGATTTTCACTGCTTTGCACTTTAGTCTATGCAAAAATAGTTCAGACATTGGAAAACAGTTAAAAATTTCACGCATCAGCGTAT